CACGAACGTCTTCGGGGATTTGACTCGGTCTAACGCTTCGGCCTAATTGCCAATCTGTGTTTTTACTGGTCAGTTTTTATATCCATTTTAGATGAACGGTCGGTTCATCTCCACTAAATTCTTTTTCTTTTCCTTTTTCCCCTTCCCGGATATAATTAGACGGCAATGGGTCAATATAACGTAGATCACTGCTAAGAGCACCTGAATCTTTCATGCAAAATCTACATAGCTGAGCACTACTCCGTACTTCTTATATGAATCAGACCAGTATGTATCTATATCTACATGTAAGGTTGATCATCGAAATTTCGACGTAAAATCGGTATTGTATTACGGAGCTACCATGGATCTAACATCAATGTCCACGGGTGTTCTTGCGGATAGTTCCTTGGAATTGTACAGCAGCGGAGTATATCACATCCAATCGCGTTTTATAAATGATTTCTTACTTTCCGGCATTTTTCAATTTTGGTTTGCTGTTACCAGTGCATTGGCTCGGAATATCTATAGCTGTCTACTTTATGAGGTATACCGGAAAATACTCTCGACTTAGTGTTTATATATATGTATTTAGATTGAGGTTTTTCCCGTCGTTTTGACGCAAATTATAACACTGCCTACAATATATAATTTATAAGAATCCTCGATGAATTTTAACAATGCATTCAGCTGTATTCTCCTAGGTCGGACTAAGTCATAATGGCCACGTCACGCTCGTTGACAGGATTTTGATTTTCAAGAAGCTCGAGTTGCGAGTCTATCATGGAAGGCTTTATATAGTGCTCCTCAGCACCAAAATCTCACTTCTATGCGATGCTCAAGCAAAGCCTTGTCATTGATGTCTAATACCAGATAGCTCATAATATTGGGGGCGGGCTTTAACTGCTACGTTAGTAGCCGGCACTGGTCACGGCAGGGAACGGAAAGTAATTATGTATGCGACTCAATATCAGATCGTCAGATCTTACTCCTATAGGATATAATATAAGGTATGGTGGACAACCCTGGGTAGAAAGGAAAGCTCTATCAAATATGTTGTGGGCTACGTCGTCTCATATTTCATGGGTGCGTGCATATTGAGTGTAGGAGTAGCCGTTCTGAGCTTCATAGATGTTTTAGGGTCTCTTTATGAGGAAGATCTATAAATTATCTTGTTTAAGAGGGATCTCGGGAGATATTGAGAATTATATATTTCAATTGTCATGCAGGAAAAGTGGTATCCCTACAATTATGCACCAGAAAGATGAGATCAATTATCACATCGAGAATCAACGCTCAATGACAGAAGTTGCATGCCTGTCCAGGTGCCATTGAAGAGTATTGACGAGCGTCATTGTGCTTGGCACTCGGGGGTTGCCCGGCGAATCTCCAACTCCGCACATCCGCAAACCCCAGCTTGGCTTACACCCCCTCGAGATTTCCTCAGATCCAATACATAGGTCATTGAAACCGGCTTACCTCATATCCAATTCGAGAATGTCACTAAGACGCTCAGCCCGACTGGGCTCCATCCCAACCATCAAGACACCACTACTACAAAGCGCAGCCCCGAGGGAAGCAACTAGAGTCCAACACAGCGCAGTGACAAAACCTCGCAAGGCAACCACAAAGTCCAGCAAATCAGATAAAAAAAGCACAAAGACGAAACCAAAAACAGGAACATCCTATTGGTCCCCTGAACCAGCAGCCACAGAGAAACAAGAAACAGACAGCCACCCATCAACCACTAATCCCACGATATTCAGACCTCAGACACCACCTCCCCTCGACCGCCCCGTCGACCCGCACCGAACAAACGCAACTCTCATCACCCCCCACGGCTCAACAGTAAACGCCTACCCAGCACGCGGAGAAGATGCCTCGCCCTCAAAAACCGGCATTCCTCGCCCAACGGCTACAACAGGGACATTACTCGAGAAAGCCACCGCGCACCTCATAGCGACAGACCCACGTATCGCAACAGTGATAGAGAAGCATCCGTGTCCGCTCTTCTCGCCTGCGGGCTTAGCAGAGGAGGTAGATCCCTTCAACAGCCTGATTAGCAGCATCATCGGCCAGCAAGTCTCTGGCGCAGCAGCAAAGTCTATCAAAAACAAGTTTCTGACGCTATTTGATTTACCCGATACTGTTGCTCCTGATGGACATAGACATGCCAAGTTCCCGACCCCAGATCAGGTCGCCAAGTGTGAAATCCCTACTCTGCGCACGGCGGGGCTGTCACAGCGCAAGGCGGAGTATATCCAGGGTCTTGCAGAAAAGTTTGCTAGTGGAGAGCTTGGAGCAAGTATGCTGGCGCGGGCTACTGACGAGGAGCTTTTTGAGAAGCTTATTGCTGTTCGTGGATTGGGGAAGTGGTCGGTTGAGATGTTTGCTGTGTTTGCGCTCAAGCGCTTTGATGTGTTTTCTACTGGGGATTTGGGAGTACAGTAAGCTTCTTCCTTCCACAGTTGTTTTTGTTCTATGCAAATTCTTGGTCTTATGGCAGGAATTGTTTGCGTCGTGGCTTAGGGAAAGTGTTTGCTGACACCTTAGTAGACGAGGCTGTGCTGCCTTTGTGGGTCGTGATGTGAGCAAACTCAAAGGCAAGGGTGGTGGTAAGTTCAAATACATGGCCGAAAAGGATATGCTGGAACTTGCTGCCAAGTTTGCACCATATAGGTATGTCCGACCCTATCCATGGTGCAGACAATGTACTTACTTCGTTGGCTTAGGAGTTTATTTATGTGGTATATGTGGCGGATTGAGGATGTTGATGTGGCTGTTCTTGGTGGTTGAAAAACGTAGGAGTATGTATTCGCCTTCGCGAATCAGGCTGTCTTGATACCATGTTATTTATTGGATATTGAGCATTCAAGACGGTGCTGTAGTATAGATGTTGCCATAGTACATAAAGTCAAACCCTGAGAGTGAATTGTGACTCTGATTTCGTGGCCATGAGCAAATGGGTGTAATTGAAGATGTTATACATGTGCATCCAGATTATGTTGGGCGCCTGACGCCCAAACCAACCATCTACCACGCATAGGCTATCCCGAACCACAACTAGCTTAGTCGTTACCAGAGTTCATCAATACAGCAAGAGGTGCAAGACCCGCTTGTCGATTACAAGATTGACCAAAGATATAAGCGCGCGAAGAAAATCGATTTGTACAGTATCAGTACACTCAGGCTGCGTAACCAAGCCATGGGCCGCCGACGACGGCACCCATTCCATTACGAAGAAAGCACACCAGGCGTTTATTCCATGCCAACAACAATCCAACCCCCCTGTTTTCATATTCTATTGAACAAGGCAGCAACGGCTTACTTGCGGACAACAAGGTTGTCAAGGTCAGCACGCTCCTTAGCCTCCTTCTCGATCTCGCGGATGATAGGGCTGAGGTACTCGACGTCCTATTTGATTCGCATCGTTAGCATTGTGTTCGTTGTGGTAAGTAGATGCCCCAAAATGGAGCCAGGGTGGGTGTGACAAATCCGTGCAACAGGATTGGCCGGTATGGAGACCAATGCGGGGAGGGCGAAATTTGGATGTTGGGGACTCACCTCCTCGGGCTTGATCTGCTCGTTGGCGGGAAGGAGAGTGTGGGAGATGGAGCACTGCAATTGACACATTTGTTAGGTTTTGCGCCAGTCGGATACAGAGGAAGGGGTCGAACCTGGAAAGCACGGCGGATACGGAAGACACGGTCATAGGCCTCCTTGGCAGGAAGACGCTTGATGGCCTTCTGGACGTTCTCGCTCTCCTCAGGGATCAGGTCATCGAACCTAATTGGGCGGTCAGCAAGTGTCTCAGTGCAACCATGCCACGAGCGATATCCGAAAGACCGGGGCTCTGGGCAAATCCGACACAACTGCGATCATATTCCAAAGATATGCCACCGGTGCGCGACAGATTCGACCAGCAAATTCCAAATCATTGTTTCAATCGCTCGTGGTCGAGGGGTCGTCGATGCGGGAGGGCAAGAATTACTTGAGTCCGAGTCTCCTGTAGCCGGCGGCATCGGTGTACCAGTGGGAGAGAGGGGTGAGCCAGCTCTTGAGCCATGGGCGCTTGACGATGTAACTGGCGAGCGAAGGGGCAGACATTTTGAATCCCGGGTATCCCAATTGACGTGGGTGTGGTGAAGGGTTGGAAAGGCTATCCGACTGGAACACGAGATGACCCGATGTTGCGAGGTTGTGCAAAACGGAGCTCGGGCAGCTAGTCCTGAAACGGCAATTCTACGCCTGAGGCCTATACCACGTGATGTTTATGCCTCAGGCAGTGGAGAGACTGGGAATGTCAATCGGCAGACTCCATCTAACGAATGGGGTTCCTATGTCATACCCCCTTCTCGATCTTATCGCCTGCTTTGATAGAGATGGGATTTGTTAAGTCTCAAAATAATCACTGATCCCTGTTTACACCGAGAAGCTTGATTGTTCTGAGAACCCCGCCCACGTCCGTGCTGCAGATAATAGAACATTGCGCATTCAAGCAACCACACCGGGTTCGGTAACCATCGGCCCCAGAAAACTTTCTCTCAATCCTCCCTCATCTCCCACACCTTCTTCTTTACACCATTTACGAGCTTTGGATATTCGGGTAAATCTACATTTCTTTCCCAGCTCGGTTTGAAATAGGGTTCTTGGGTTCCGGATCGAGCACCCGATATGCTCGTGTCCGGGGGCCCTCGTTGATTCAGTACGGTTCGACAAGCTGCGTGAGCGCCGGCCACCAAGATGTCTACAAACGGCCGAAGCACTCCGGACAGCTCACAAAACCAAACTCGGTCAATCCATGTCGACAATGCCCCTAACGTGCCTGCCACCCCGAGCTCTGATTTCAAAGCTCGCCTCGAGGTCTTTTCCACCAAGATACCCAACTTTTACATAGCACCTTTGTGCGGAGCTAGCGCTGGCGTGGCCTCTGGGATTGTCACATGTCCTCTTGATGTTATCAAAACGAAGCTCCAAGCTCAGGGGGGTTTCGGCGGGGAGCAAAGGAAGTTGGCTCGGGGATGCTGTATCGTGGCATGCTCGGAAGCGGGAGGAAGATTTGGCGAGAAGATGGCATCCGCGGTCTCTACCAGGGACTAGGTCCAATGTTGCTGGGATATCTTCCCACCTGGGCTGTTTACCTAGCGGTCTATGACCGGACTCGTGAATATTTCTATGACCAGACCGGTAGGTACCTCCAGAATGGAGGATTGAACCATTTATCAGTACTGACCAAGTTACAGGAAGCTGGTGGTTATCCCGAGGCTATGCTTCAATCACAGCCGGTGCATGCTCAACAATCGTGACGAACCCCATTTGGGTCATCAAGACCAGGCTCATGTCACAAAGCCTTAAACAAAACAGCGAAGGAGTGCGAGCCCCTTGGCAATACTCAGGCACATGGGATGCTGCTCGCAAGATGTATCAAATCGAGGGCATTCGCTCCTTCTACTCTGGCCTCACCCCAGCTCTACTGGGACTAACCCATGTGGCCATTCAATTCCCTCTCTACGAATATCTAAAAATGGCATTGACAGGATATGGTATCGGTGAACACCCCGATACTGGTAGCTCACACTGGATGGGAATATCCCTCGCCACTTTCCTCAGCAAGGTCTGCGCAAGCACAGTCACATACCCGCACGAGGTCTTGCGGACCCGACTCCAAACACAGCAACGGACTATTCCGGCACAATCCCACGAAGAGATTGCGTTCCGCGGTGGATTGAAACATCCACATGACCGCGGCCGGTCGGGTGGCATCTCCTCCTCAGACGGAATGCCCAGCCGCCCACGCTATAATGGCATGGTGCGCACGTTCCAGACAATCCTCAAGGAAGAGGGCTGGCGTGCATTTTACTCCGGGATCGGCGTCAACCTGTTCCGGGCCGTCCCGGCTGCAATGACGACTATGCTCACCTACGAATATCTGCGGAAGCAGATCAATACCTTGCAGCATGATGGTGCGCTGAGGATCCAGATGGAAGAACAAGCTCGGGGATCCATCTGACACCCACGATCTATCAACACACAAATCACTACCTCCAGTCTCCAACCTCCCTTCATATCCGCCTCTAAAACATCGCCCCCACCGCTTCTGGTCGCCAAATCCTCTTTTCTCCTTTTGTCACAACCTGTATAGACATGGACGGGGCGGTCTGTTTCTCAATATTTGAAGATCAACCTTTAGCGAGTAAATTTTGGCTACTGCATTCCGAAAGCATACGAGGGTCTCGGCATAGATGACAGTGTCTCCAGACTTCAATGTTTTGACATGTGAAACAGCTTTCACATGTCTTCACATGCTTACCTGCGCACTACATCTCAGCTGAAAAATCATGGTGACCCGAAGCATGGCTTTTCTTTCTTCTGCTTTCTAAACCTGTCTACTATCTTCCTGGCTTCTGCATGTCTTTTCTGTATATACATCACCTATTATACATGCTTGCCCATTCTCGTGAATACACATACTCAAATAAATCAATTGAAACTACACTGGAAAATGATAGATATTCTCATCTCGATCGTTGTGAACCCTCTGGTATGAAAAGAGATAATACTAAACTTTTCTAGATTTACTATTTACTATAAATAAAATACCCAAAAATTACTAGCTTTTCTATATAACTTATATATATCACGAGGTTAGTCGTGTTTACACTATAGTACCGAACCAAGGGCCTAGTGCTGCGGCACCGGTGCTGCGGGACTTGTTAAGGCCTATCTATAACCTATAATAGCCGTGTTAAAAGAGGAAGAAACGGAGACCTTTAATCAGGTCCTTTTCAAACCCTTCGGATTCTTCCGTTCCCGTTTTATCTTATTACTCTAGTGCTATCCTTACGATCGATATTAACGCTAGTTTAAACCCGGCATATTTCTTTACTTTCGTACCCGACCCTAGCCCGATGCTATCTTGACCCTACATGGCGGTAAATTTAGGGAAACTAAGACCGTACACGTTAGACGAGAATGCGTTACTAGTGCGGCTTAAGGAAAAAGAGGCAATATCATAGTCTGAGATTACGACTCACTTCCTAGGCCGAAATATGTCATCTCTCTAAGTCCACTATTCAACCAAATTACGCCATAAGGCCAGCTCTCGGCCTGGAAAACCGAGGAGACGCGAATGAGAGGCTATGCTATCAGTATATTTTTTGGTTCGGGCATTGATCAGTGAACTCAATCTGATTTCCACATGTACGGAAGATAGTATAGAGATCGCAGCGTATGCAACTTATAATCTCACGTTTATTTCTATCAGCGGATACTTCGGGATTTTGGGCATTCCTTAGCTCGCAATAAGTATGTCTCCAACTATGCCAGTGACGAAAAGACAACTGACCTATCAAGAATTCCTACTATCCAGCCCCGAAGCTAGTCACAGACCAGTACTGGAGCAAGTTGACAAAGATACACCTGAACAATATACATGAAGCTGTACGACTAGAGCGGACCTTCCACCAGATCAGACCTTTGCAATCGATATTTCTTTTGCCACGCAGACTTTGATGGCAATCTCCCTTCTTTGTGTATTCACACTTTACAATCATTTGATAGCAAACTCAAATTCGAATTTAGTATCTTCAGAACAAAATAATCTTACTCAAAATCCAGATCAGCTCTAAACCATCCCCAAGCCCGCTTCCATTACCGTGAGAGGCTTTCTCATACGGCAAACGTTCCTATCCAAAATTACCTATTCGTGTATCTTCTGAGGAAGATTGGCAACCTTCTTTCCCGCATGGGTCAACAAAAGCTCCCGCGCACGCTGAGGGCTTAGAGAAAACAGGGCACATTTCGCAGCCCAGCAATAAGGAATCATCAGCGTATGCGACTCGTTTGCTACCCGACGAGGACGAACTCTTAATCGAACTGAAGGAAAAACAAAGTCTTCCGTGGAGCTGGAGGAAGTGTTACAAGACCTGCAGCCAGTCCGGTCCATCAGATCTGAAAATGTGCTTTCAATTTTTCCAAAAACACCATCCTCCAATATTAATGACCGATTGAGTCCTCGAGCAATTGTACAACTTCAAGTTTGCTTAGTCTCCTGGCGCAATCCAAAGCGGTGTCCCCATTTGCATCTTTAATGCTCAAGTCTACCCCGTCATGAACCAGGAATCGTACAACGTCGACCTTTCCAAGCTCTGTCGCCTTGTGTAAAATGGTACCAAGTCCCATAAAAGCGTAAAGAGACCAGGAGAAGGGATGATTCTGATACATTGTCGCATTCAATGGAGCACCTTCCTTAAGAAGAAGTGTTAAGACTTCAAACACTTCAGATTCCCTATCCAGCGCGTGGAATAGAAGCTGGCCCTATTGTGTGTCGCCTCCATTGCCAAGAAAAAGTTTAATGTTTGAGATAGGTGCGTAGTGAACAGCATAAGAAAGTGGCGTCAAGTCAATCAGACATTTTTGATTCGGATCAGCTCCATGCCTGAGTAGCCATGACACCATCTCTTGGTCCCGGGCCACGAAACTAGAAATGACTCGGTTACGCGGTTAAGCTTTTGTAGGGAAGAGATTCTTACCCAAGTACCGGGGGCTGTGCGTCACTTATTGGCTTGTTGACATTCCAGCCGTTCTTAAAAAGCGCTTCAAGGACATTCTTTGCCTTCCACTTCGCTGCTTCCAAAGCGTAATCAGGGTGCAAGGGTAGTCCATGGGAAAAAAGCGCCTCGGCGAATTGCGCATCATCATATCTAACCGCATCTATCATGATTGTATCCAAATCAAGCAGGTCGAATTTGCCGTCTGAGACAAGTGAGTCCAACATGTTCTGAAAGGTTTCAATCTGTTTCTGATCATATACCAAACGTAAATTATTGACAATCTCAATGGGCGACCGTATTGGAACGCTTGGTAACTGTGAGAGGGTAGACGAGTTTCCTGACAGAATATGGACTTCCATGACTGTTAGAATTTTATAATGGCTCAAACGGGATTAATGCAGCTAACTGATGATGGATGTGTTTGAATCTACAGCAGTAGAGAGATCATGAAAATGTACAATGATGATATTGTATGATGATACGTGAAGTATGAAGAGGGGAGAAATACAGATACAGGCCTAGGGCCTAGATAAGATACAGAGGTCATGTGACTAATGGGAGATTTCAACAGGATGTAAAGAGAAGAAAATGAGGGCGAGCAGGGTACTATAAAATGCATCACTTGAAAGTAGGTAAGTGGTTGGTAAACATATGGATCACGTGACAGATTATTTAAAATTGCCGCACTTATTTTTTTCCCTCTTTCCTCTTCACTTCTCCCATACTTTTTTTTTAATTCACCATCAATCCATACTTGTTTCTCAGGCGTTTAATGCTGGCCCTTTGATCAATCCATGCAGTCACAAATCAATCTCATATGTTGAGTTTGATCAGATTTACTCGCTAACAACTTTTATATGCCACCTGTATTGCATCAAATCAATAACCCCATTAGCTTTGTGGTTATTTGATGCATTGAAAGGCAGTTGGATCTATATAGTCTCGTCATCCTTTGTTTACTCTCACCCACCTTGGCATTCCTTTGGCCGAACCACACATTCCTTCTTCACTATTCGCATGATGAACAATTTCAAGATTGAACTGGGTTGTCAATACACTTAGACTCCCAGGGCATGATCATTCATACACTGAAAATTCTGATTGAATAAGAAGACCCATATGTTGCAGTTGATTTTACTTTGTTTCACCTATATAGCCACGAAGAGCCTCAATGACTACAGAATTATACAACCATTAATATCACAATAATGTATTAAACACTGTTGTAGTGGATTCAGTCCATATAATACATGTGAGAAAGCACCTTTTAACATAGGAATACCTCAAGGTCGTCCTTTCCCACCATTCTGCGCTCGACTCTCATCAAGTGCTTGTTGAACCCAGGACTCGTCTTTTCTCTCAAATGGCGTAGCTCGCTGATAAGGACTGGGCCCTGGTGCTTGGATCTGGGCATCTCGCCGCGCAGTGCGGATAGAACTAATACAGTATGAACAAAGGAGGACAGCCATTGTAAAAGCTGCAATAGGAGCATTGAGAGACTGGATGAACATCAGCACAAAGCAAAAATTGGAGAGTGTGGCTAAGAAACCAAGTGAGATGATGGTGTTTAGATGTTGGTCTTTGCAGCATTCTACATACCCCTTTTGGCTTGCCTAATGCTTTCGGATTTGACCTTTGTTGGGTCATTGTGTACGGAGTATGTTGTGTCGGATTTTGATTTAGGCTTGAGCTATCCTCGGGCTCACCTTTGCCAGCTGAACTTATTAGATAGAGCTGTAGCTTATTGGTAATAGGCAGGACAGAGTTGGGCGAACTTGAGAAAATTCGAAGGAAAAAAAACCAACTAGTTGAGGGATAGGCAAGGGTAGTGGTAGTGATAGTAGTGATGGTCAAGTAATGGTGGGGAGGCGGAGAGCGGAGCGGAGAGTGCAAACAGGTCAAATATTTGGCTTATCGCATCATTTAATCGATGCCGACGTTCTCAGGCCGTCGACACACCCATCTTACCATAGCACCCCATGGCTTCTGAACCCACTCCCTCAAGAGGGGGCATGTCCCTGTATGCCAATCTACTTAATACCTCCACTGATACGCCTGGCACCATCTCCCGCGCCCCTGTTGTCTTTAAGCAGTCGGAGACCGAACATCAACCTGACGACGCGGCTGCCAAAAAGCAACAACTGAATCCTGGTACTCACCCTTGACTTGTTGGATACTATGAGCCGCACATGCTGACTTACTCTTTTTCTTCATAGCTTCCCTTCGGTTCCAACCTCCCAAAAGGCCACAGCTCTCAGCCCAGAAGCCTAAGCCGAAACATACTTTACCTAAGGCCGCGCCACAACCACAGCCCTCAGCCAACCAAGCTTCGGTACCGACAAAGAGCACTTTGGCTGATTGGACCGCCATTGAAGATGATAATTATGAGTACGCGCGTGAGAAGCGACAACGCGGTGGAAGAAAGAAGCGCAAGAAGAACTTTGAGACACATGTCGTCCAGAACTGGGATGATATCTACGACTCTTCTCGACCCACCAATAACGCGGAGCACCGCCATAATGATGAGAAGATCGGTGAAGTCCGCGAGTGGAAGGATCGCTTGTATGCGCATGTCAGAAAGCGTTCACCGAGCAGATTTTCAGATAGCGAGGATTATGAGCGGCCAAAAAAGCGTATGTTCGGTTATTCTACGAATGGCGACGACACCCAGACTAAAAATATAACACCAGGACAATTTGCGCCTCCAAGCAATTTTGCACCGCCGCCAAATCTCAATGATGTGCCGCCACCAGCTTCGATCCCCAATGACCCATCTGGTGAGGATGCATTCGCTCGCCGTGCAGCATTGGGGAAAAGCTTCGATAATCATTCTATCGCCGTTCATGCACAACTCCCGACCTCGTCACCATCCCGAGCTCAAGATCCCGCCCAAATTCCCGACAACCCACCATCGGGACATGTCATACCACATCCTCCTCCAGCACGTCCCCTCGACGCCTTCCAACCTAGCTCCGCAACCATCTCCTGCGCACCAGTTCGATATACCCTTCCACCACCCCCAGAAGACATCCCAGCCTCTGAAGCCGAACTTGAAGCCGTATTGGCCCAAGAACAGCCGGCAGAGGAGGAAGAACTAGATGAGTCCGCGCCACGATCCCTTCGTCCCGGGCAAAAAGGCTTCGCAGAACGACTGCTTTCCAAGTATGGCTGGACCAAGGGCTCTGGTCTTGGCGCTACTGGTTCTGGTATGGTGAAGCCTCTGCAGGTCAAGGTTGAGAAGCGCAAGAAGCGACCAGATTCAGAGGGCGGTGGCTTTGTCACGCCTGCTGGGCGAGGTAAGATCATCGGAAGCAATAATAAAGGTGAATATGATACCAGCAAGTTTGGCCCTATGAGCGAAGTAGTCGTCCTACGAGGCATGCTGGTCGGAATGGATCTGGATGTCGAGATGGAGGGTAGCAATGATGGTGGTTTGATGCAGGAGATTGGACAGGAATGTCATATCCAGGTACGTTTTCTTCCGTCGATGAGCTTGTGGGCTTGCTGATTTGGGGCCTCATAGTATGGAAACGTGGAGCGAGTGTTCATCGCTCGCAACGTTGGCACCCCAGTCCCGGTCTTTGTCAAATTCCAGAATCCCTTGTCTGGTCTACGGGTAAGCTTTGGAGATCTACATCTTGATTCAAATGTGAGTTTGTGCATTGCTGACTATTGCATATACGATAGGCCGTGAACGCGCTTGAAGGCCGTATATTCAATGGCAACACAATCACCGCGCGATTTTTCAATACCGAGAAATTCGACCAGGGGATTTACACACCCTAATTGCCCAATTTGGTGCCATTTCATGCATGTGCATGTTATGACATCTCGATCATTTGCTAATTTGTGCTTTCTCGACTATTGCACATACAACAGGCCGTGAATTTGCTCCAAGGCCAGGTACTCAATGGCAACGAAGTCATAGGATGTTCTTTTCGACTGAGGAGTTTGAACGGGGGTTTACATGACCAATTGATTATGTTCACACCCATTCGTGTACTTAGCTATGTTAATGATAATGTTCGATTCATTTGATGTCGCTCTAGTGAGTTCTCATTGCATAGTTCTCCAAGACCACCTCTTAAAATAACGCAAAACACAGACTATGGAGCATCGAAACGGTAAATCATTCAATCCTCTATGAAACCTCAAAATGTCTGGTCGAAGAGTTCCATCCCACCACTCTAATCCATCAATCTATTGCCCCGACACCTTCCTAACAGGAGGGGGAATCTAGGAACGCCAAGTGCGATGATACTTCTTCGGCTTAGAAGTGCGGAGCAAAGGCTCTGTGTCCGACATATTGTCATCAGTGATAAACGCCAGATACGTACAATTTTGCTGGTTGCGCACCAACCTAGTGGGAACTGGAATCCGAGACCGCCAGCTTCGGTTCGTCTGGGGCTGGGGGTGGCCTTGCAACAGCTCGGATTTAGACTCCTCTTCTTGACCTGTGTAATCATCAGCATATTCAACCACAGCTACATCAGACAAGGGAGGCGAGGATGGTTGCACTATGGTCGGTATGCGTGACGGACCCCTGTGGAACGACGCACGAGTCTCCCGGTCCTCAGCCCCACGAGTCAAGCTGGGAGTCTGGGAGATCCGCGTTTGCATGTCAAGTTCCCCACCATCACTGTCACTGATACTCCAGCCGTCTTCGTCGCTATATTGTAACGCCTCGCATATTGCAGACCAACGACGCTGCCCCCGCGGTTCGCGGGAGATAGACTGGCGTAGTATTTGCTGATTAAGTCTGCATTGCAGACAACTCCCTTCAAGTGGGAAAGGGGTTGTGATTTGGTGCTCTTCGGTGCACTCGTAGCCCATTTTGAAGGCTTCGTGGCACGCAATCAGGGATGTTGCATCGGGGTCTTGGTGCTGGCACATGGCAAAGTACCAGGTAACTGAATGACACATGATGATAGCTGATACTATGTAGCTTTGGGATGTCGTTTGTAAATATTGCAGGTACGATTTTGGTTGAGGGTTATGTGTGTGGATGGGATGAGTATGAGAAAGGATATGCTGAAACGCGCGGAGCTTCCTTTTATACTCTTAAGACCAGCTTAGAGCTGTGTCGTTGGAGAAAACCTTTGTCCAGGAGTTTTCCGGCCTTAGGTTCGAAGAAAGAAACATTTTTTCATAACCTCAGTCTTTATCATAGCTACTCCGTACATATGTACCTATTGTCCCTGACAAAGCCATTATGTATATATCGTGTCTGACTCTTTGTTACCTTGGGGAATATATGAACGCCTTTGTTCATAACTTGTAGGCGATTGTCATAAGTGGAATGTTTTTGGTTAGTGGCTCATCCAGTTTCACTTATATCAGATAGTAGGTAGTAGGTAGGGGTGACATGAAATCTATAGCTTGTTACTCCATATGAATATTCTGATAGACGGATATCATCGACCAAATATCCGTCCATGAATGAATTTCACTGATTGTATTTTCATTTCGATGAATAGAACATAAATGTGATATACCAAGTCATAACAAGATCACTATATGGAGCTGAGATTCATACTCCCTCAAAGTATGTAGGCTTAGTCACTACGCAGCAGATAGAGGCTTCTTTTCACCCTACAATTTACCTGCTAGTCAGGATAAAAATCTAGGCATCAAGTTACTTGGCGAAAATAATTTGTATTCGTCCATGGGTAGCAGAGCTTCACTCCTGGTTTCTAGCTTTACTGATCAAGGCAGTCAGTCAGTCACCTTATCTCCCTAGCCCTGCGGGGGAAATTGCAATACAGTCTGCAATTTGTGCCAAATGATACCAGATAATGATCCTCCTGCTTATTCCTCTCCCTCCTCTTTGCTAACATGCAAAGTACGATTGATCTTCCCCCTCAAATCGGGTAGCTTCATCGCCCCTTTTCAGCTGGGCTGGACCTGTCTAGCGTGCATGCTGCGTTCATTGTCCCTCCTAAATCGAGCAGCTTCGCCGCACATCTAGATGTCGGCTTCGCGGTCATTCGCCATGAATATGGCCGTGCCGCGCTCTTCAATATCGGCTTCGCGGTCATTCGCCATGAATATGGCCGTACCGCGCTCTTCAATATCGGCTTCGCGGTCATTCGCCATGAATATGGCCGTGCCGCGCTTTTTAGTATCGGCTTCGCGGTCATTGGCCATGAATACGGCCGTGCCGCGCTTAGCAGTTTCCATTCCCGCGGGCCCTTCGTCGGACGTATGACGCGGGTTCATTGTAGGTGTAGCGATAGCCAGGGTGGCAGAAATCGCGAGAATGACCAATGAGAACTTCATGTTGGCGAAGGCAGGCTGGAAATAGAGTTCTAGTTAGTAGTTGTCACTAAATATAAGAAAGATGAGCCTGTTTTTACCTTGTGGGATTGATTGTCTGTAAGTCTTGTTGAGCTGAGGTTAGAGATGATTGAGCAGAGTTATAATCCAGATTTAATGATATAGCGGCATTCGTAGGGATTATATACTTTAAGAACACTATAGAATTCCCGGAAAAAATTCCATATAACCAAGTCGTGTTGACCTCGATCCTATCGCCCACCCCCTTACTGGCAGCCCTGCGGTGCTACATCACCATATAATAGACAGCAGGCTGTTCAAGGAAGTATGAGCAATAGCGCCCAAAGCTGCCCAGAATCCTTGGCAGACGACTTAGAGAATGGCTTTTCTGCATGATAATATTTTATGCTGGAAATCACACCCTAGATTGACATCAAATATGGTAATGTAGTAGTAGTACAACATACATATGTATGTATATAGACCCACTCCAAGGCTGATGCCGATCGGGAACCATCAGCATCGTGAGGAATGCTCACAATTGAGAGCTGTCAGAGGGTGGGGATGTAGATCATGCGTCATGCTAGTACTATATATCGTCGATTATTGGTCGATTTGCTACACCCCAAGTATCTTTGATAATATGCATCACACTGACCGAGATAAGTCGAGAGAAAGTCAGCTCATGCAAGGGATTATGCACACTTCACATCATATTGGCCGTTCAGCTTGCCGGGCTACTAGTTCCCTTGCTCACCCCATCTGACTTTCCGCACAACATACATAAAGGAATAACTTGATTTTATCATTTTGGGCAAGCCTTTCCTACTTTAATTTTTAAGCATTTGTGTATCAAGAGTCTAATGCTACAACAGACTTTTTGACAGCTCTTGAAGAGGCGCCGGACTATGGCAGTAATTAATTCCCTCAAAGAACAGCTCTATCAACCGATCCACAGCGAAGATACAGAATCAGAGCCCCCCGACACGTCTAGGCTTATTGTGCCAAAGATTTGCCAGAAGTCTCATCTTCGTCTCGTTGCGCCGTGGATAGCTTCCACATTCTCGTTAGCCCTGATTACGGGCTACCTGCTATTTCAACAATACAATTCCTCTACATACCTAGCTACATCTCTATCAGCCTTTCGAACCGACCTCCACGATGCGCATCCATATATATCTTACGAGGAACGTGTGTTCTCTGGGAAACTGGCGTTTGACGAGGAGATAGGCAAGGTCTACCGAGACATTGACCTATCTGCGCCTCAATATTTCGGACTTCCATCTCCTGAGATTGACGATGCCTGGGCTGATTTAATGCGAGGTATGTCCCCTTTTCAATACCTCTGAGTCTACTCGGCCACAAGGTAGCCACTTCAGCTTACACAATGGCGGAATTTTATAGGAGAGTTCGTAAGGATGACCGATGAAGAAGCGGCACCATACACACCAGGGCTCAATAAGGCCCCCCATTCGGATTATTACCACTTTGAGTGAGCTCTCCAGAAAGCAGCTATATTCTCCCGTGTGTTCAATCTAATATTTCTCTCTATTAGACCTGACATGTTCCACTCCCTCCACTGCCTTAACGCAATCCGAATGGAACTCGATATGGACTATTATTCAAAACATCCCCACCACGGCGAGCTGGAGAAAGCCATCAAAAACTCCACGAGTTTTCCAGATAATTGGAATCGAATTCACCGTGATCATTGTCTAGACCAGCTGCGGCAAGCTATACAATGCCACGGAGACATATCGCCGGTCCCTGTGTATCATTATAATAATGATATAGTAGGGCTTGGAGTTGGGCAACTTCATACGTGCCGCAAGTGGGAGCCCATAAGGGAATGGATGGATATTCGCGCGGCGAGTCAGCATCGAAAGGCGGGCTAGTGATATATTGTTTTTCCATAAAAGTAATGAATATTTCTGCTCCTGTGGATATTCCCGCTCTGCTTCTACTGATTGTGCTCGGTTGAGTAACATTCACATTGGTCTATAACACTCAAGTTGCCAAGAGGTGTAAGTGGGTAGCCCTATACCTAGTACTACACTCGGAGAGTTAGAAGAAAGGATATTAGATTGAGATCAGATTAATATGTCAGAATCTATAGTAACATAGACAGCAAAGACGACCGCAGAACCTGTTATATGTGCTATTTATGCCTAACAATAGAAGTGAGGCTCCTAGGAGACGGTTCCTGGGCAAGGCCGCGATCCCCTGCAGGTATTACATAAGCAAACTCATTGTTCGCGTGGGGAGGTCAATTGCTATCACCTCCCCGGCTTTGACGATTGCCACCTTTAAAATCTTCCGCTCATCACCTCTTTCTCCCTCTCTCTTTACTTATTCCCAACCACTCATCGTGCCCCACATCTTGCTTACAGTGAAGTTGCACCTTTGTGCTTGATCTTCTTTCACCCTCCGCGAGTCAACCCATTTCAGCTACCCACCCGTTGAACACTATCCGAGATGTCGTTGTGCCAGAACCGTCTCCAAGAAGAGCGGTAAGCATATTTAGTGTCTCGCACATTTTGCGATTTTGCGCATCACTTGCATCACGCCCTTACTTTCCACTGACCTCCATGGATTCCCTAGAAAGCAATGGCGTCGCGACCACCCATTTGGCTTTGTCGCAAAGCCGAAACGTGCCCCGCAGGGTGGCCTGGACCTGAAGAACTGGGAATGCGCCATTCCAGGGAAGGCTAACACTCTATGGGAAGGCGGTCTCTTCAAAATCGACTTGATTTTCCCCGATGGTGAGCGGCGCAATACATTCATGACTACTGAAGATCCCTATACTAATCCACGCTTCTAGAATATCCTACCAAGCCTCCCAAATGTACGCATCTCCTTTGAGATATACTCTTGTGCCAGCTCGTCGGAATAGAGCTTCTGCTGGGAGCTATCACTATGATTTCTTGTGACAATCTCATACTAATATAACCGTTTAGGCAAATTCACGCCACCACTGTTCCACCCCAACGTCTATCCTTCCGGAACTGTTTGCCTGTCAATTCTGAATGAGGAGGAGGGTTGGCGACCTGCCATCACTATTAAGCAGCTCTTGCTTGGTATCCAGGATCTTCTGGATGACCCGAACCCCGAGTCACCTGCTCAGGCCGATGCCTACAACCTCTTCAAGAAGGACCGTCCTGCTTACGAGCGCAAGGTTCGCATCGCTGTCAAGGAAAACCAGCCCAATTAGGACCCCAGCCCAATCAGGCTTTGATTACCCAAGCGTAAACAGCGATGGCGCTGCATGGGTCATTTAATTTCTCTTTTTCTATCAGCATTGGATACCGGGCAGATTGTGGGAAGATTATGCATTTATTGTTTAATGAAGGAAGCAACTTTTGCTTTTTTATCGCGAGCATGGCGTTGCTACATATCCCAATGGATGGCGTTTTCTGGGCTTAGGGTCATTCAAAAACAATGATACCACATACATGCTCCCTGCCGGGATACTTAGGCTTGCTATGTATTGGGTACAGAATGACTCTCGCAGAAGAAATTTGATGTACTTATTTGCTCCTGTGCATAGGTAAAACCACCTGGGCAGTCAACACAGCATCCATATCTCCCTGCGCTGATGGAATGAGCCCATGGTGGGTGTCTTGGGAAGGTGCATTCAACTTTCCGTTTTAATTAACAAGATACCAACCTTGAAAGGTACGTATTCGATGAACCAAGTACCAAATCGGCAAACCTTTTTTCGTTTGGAATCCCAAAATTGCAGGATTGTGTACTTAATACTGCGTAATATCTACCAATTTAGCTAGAGATAGACTAAGGCACCGCCGTAGACTATACCTAGAAATTACAACAATCTCGGATAACCCGGAATCAAATAAGCAACTTGAACTTTTCCACCATTTCAGAATTGAATTGTATAGAACCCAACATGATACCATCCCATTCTGCTTTTCGGACCAAAAAGAGAAGCCAGAAGAGACGTACGAGTCTCTCATGCAATCAGAACTTCGCCATGTCATCAATACAATCCTTGTGGGTTTTGCATAGATCTTCATAGCCTCAATATAGAGACTAGTGCGATCTCGTCTCTAGTGCTTCCGCCCCTTCTCCTTAGAATCAAATCTCCCAGCTGTCTTTTTTATACTGAAAAAGACCTTAAGCATTCATGCTGATGGTAGCGCGATAATATGTGGATACAGAGAAGCGTTCTCCAGAGCTGAGAGCTGGCAACACAAGTGCATTGATTCTGGGTGAAAATGACAATGGTACCACTACAACGTAGTTAGTACGAGATAATTGAATATAGATCATTAGCATACACTTGTTCAAGGAGGGGCTTGGCTAGGGCTATAGTCCATGGTGGGGGTATAACAGTCACGTGACCTTAAATTATATCACTCTCCAGGGACCCTTGTCAAACTGAGACAGACAACACTATGACCTTAAAAAAAAGAACTAATATAGTCTACATATGTTGTATTCAGCCACAATAAAACCTTTAACCTGTAGAAGCCGATGATTCAGGGTGCTTATCTTATCGGTGAGTCAAAAGACTTGCCGACATCGCCCCTCGCCCCGCCAGGAGGGCACCGGGGCAAATTTGAAAAAAATCGCCGTTCTAAGGTTCCCCATATAACCGATTAGTCAATTGCTACCCTTCTTCCCGAATCTCTCCTCCCTAATTGATCTTCATCTCTAACACAGTTCTCAATTGCCCATCATGTGTGGAATTTTCGCGTGCCACCAGTGCGTCATGTCATACCCTAACTCCCCGCGTCTGGGATGTCAACTTCGGGACTAACCAGAGTATAGTCACCCCGATGTGCAAAAGTTCAAGCCTACTGCTTTGCGCATGGCCAAGGCGTGAGTATCTCCATTGCTTCTTCAATTGCAATTCACAATTCGCAATCTATAGAATTATCGCTAACTCGTGTCCTAATAGTGTGCGCCATCGCGGTCCTGATTGGAGTGAGTCACAGAGTTACAATTGCGCAGCATATGTGGGAATCATAGGGTTAACAAAAGTTCTCCAACAGGTGGAAACTTCTGCGCCGAGAGCACTAGTGAGTTGACACGCATTAACTTTGGTGTCGGCGTGGTATGCTAACGTGTGATTCATAGTCCTGGCGCACGAGCGTCTGAGCATCGTCGGTGTTGGTACGTGACCCCTGTGAATGATTAACAATTTGAAGATCTATTTGTTAACATTATCTTCTCAGACTCCGGTGCCCAGCCCCTCGTCAACGAGGATAGCAGCCTCGCCCTCGCCGTCAACGGTGAGATCTACAACCACCGCCTCATTCGCAAGAACCTTCACCACAAGTACAACTTCAAGACACACTCCGATTGCGAAGTTATCATCCCCTTGGTACGTCAGGCCAAATATATCGGAATCGGAGTTAAAAGTCGAAATGCTGATATAAACTAGTATGAGGAGTACGGCCTTGATGCCCCCAAGCACCTTGATGGCATGTTCTCCTGGGTTCTTTGGGATAAGAAGCAGGACCGTGTTGTTGCTGCTCGTGACCCCATTGGTATCACCAGTTTCTACCTTGGTCGGTCTTCGTCCACTCCCGGCGCCGTCTACTTTGCCTCTGAGCTTAAGTGCCTGCACCCCGTCTGTGACGACATCATTGCCTTCCCCCCCGGCCACATCTATGATTCCAAGACCGACAGCCTGACCCGCTACTTCGAGCCCAAGTGGTGGGACCCCGCCAACGTCCCCTCGACCCCGGTTGACTACAAGGTGATCCGCCACAGCCTCGAGAAGGCTGTTCGCAAGCGTCTGATGGCTGAGGTGCCCTACGGTGTTTTGCTGTCTGGTGGTCTGGACTCCAGCTTGGTCGCGTCTATCGCTCAGCGTGAGACCGTTCGCATGGCCGAAGCTGCCCGCAACGCGCCCCAGACCGAGACTGTGGACGGTGAGTTGGTTGGCATTGATGACGACAACGAGCTGTCGACCGTCACTACCTTCCAGCAGCTGCACTCGTTCTCCATCGGTCTCCCCGGTGCCCCGGATACCGCGGCTGCCATTGAGGTCGCCAAGTTCCTCGGCACTAAGCACCACCCCTTCACTTTCACTGTTAAGGACGGCATCGATGCCCTCTCTGACGTGATCTACCACCTCGAGACCTACGATGTAACCACCATCCGTGCCTCTACTCCCATGTACCTGCTCTCCCGCAAGATCAAGGCCATGGGTGTCAAGATGGTTCTGAGTGGTGAGGGTTCCGACGAGATCTTCGGTGGCTACCTCTACTTCCACGCTGCCCCCAACCGTGAGGAGCTCCACAAGGAGACCGTCCGCCGTGTCAAGAACTTGCACTTGGCTGATTGCCTCCGTGCCAACAAGTCCACCTCCGCATGGGGTCTTGAGGCCCGTGTTCCTTTCCTCGACAAGGAGTTCCTCGAGACCTGTATGGGTGTTGACCCCCAGGACAAGATGATCACCCCCGAGCGTATCGAGAAGCACATGCTGCGCAAGGCCTTCGACACTACCGATGAGCCCGAGACCGCTGCCTACTTGCCCGACAAGATCCTCTGGCGCCAGAAGGAGCAGTTCAGCGATGGTGTTGGCTACAGCTGGATTGATGGCCTTAAGGATGAGGCCGAACGCCAGGTCACCGACGAGATGATGAAGAACCCTAAGCCTGAATGGGGTACTGACATTCCCGACACCAAGGAGGCGTATGTTTCACTCTTTTCCATTTTCTACTGTCGAAGACTAACTTAAGATATAGATACTGGTACCGTACCATGTTCGATGAGCACTTCCCTCCCTACTGTGCCGGCACTGTCGAGCGCTGGACCCCTACCTGGTCCAAGCAGAGCGACCCCAGTGGAAGGTAAGCTATAACCATTTTTTATTCCCTATTTAATTCATTTTCTCTAACATTCTTTGCAGAGCTATCGCCATCCACAACCAGAAGTATGACAAGTCGGAGTAAAAAGCCTTGAAGAGCATAAACAAAAGGATCTGAACTTTTCTGATTTAGCACTTTCTTTGGGGGATATAGCACCGGATTAGATTGTATATACCCTTTTTGGTATATGTCGGTATAATGTTATGGTCTCAATTTATCTTTCTTGTATTTTCTTAAACCACGTGACTTTGTCCAAACATTACCGGCGGGCTTTCCCGGCAGCCGGGCAGCCGCCAATCACCGACCTCCCACTAACCCGTGCTAAGCCCCTAGGTTCCCCCAACATCATCACAACTCTTCTTTTCCTCCTTCTTCATCTCTTCATAGAACCTCTTTCCTCCTTCATCTCTAATTAGACTTCTCTCGTCAATATGTCTGCCCCCGCTGCTTTCTCCGATATCGCCAAGGCGACCAACGATGTACGCACAACTGTTGGGAACAAAACTCAGAACCTTGGCTAATACATCCAAATAGCTCCTTAACAAGGATTTCTACCACTCCGCCGCTGGTTTGTTTATCTATGGCATTGCGCTACTTATAAAAGCTTGAATGACTGAATAAATGCTTTTTTTTTTTAGCCAACCTTGAGGTTAAGTCCAAGGCCCCCAACGGTGTCACCTTCACCGTTAAGGGAAAGTCTGCTCACGAGGGCCCCATTGCTGGTCAGGTTCGTTAAATATGATCTCCAAATTCATTACGCAAATTACTAACTTGTGCGCCTATAGCTCGAGGCCAAATACGTTGATGCGCCCACTGGTAAACGCCCCTTCCACAAAAAACCTCCAGATCCTGGCGCGCGCAAAACCCGTCCTATGCCATTGATGTTCGGATGCGGTATTCCAATAGCGCGCCGGGTGAACCTATTTATATCTTCGGATGCCATGGTGCAAAGGATTAGGCTAATATGCTCACTCCGACCAGGCCTCACCCTCACCCAGGCTTGGACCACCGCCAACGCTCTCGACACCAAGCTCGAGCTCGACAACAACATCGCCAAGGGCCTCAAGGCTGAGATCCTGACCCAGTACCAGCCCGCTAAGCAGTCCAAGGGTGCCAAGCTCAACCTGTACTTCAAGCAGCCCAACCTGAACGCCCGTGCCTTCTTCGATCTCCTGAACGGCCCTACCGCCAACTTCGACGCTGTTCTCGGCCACGAGGGCTTCCTCGTCGGTGCTGAGGGTGGTTACGACGTCAACAAGGCCGCCATCACCAAGTACTCCGCTGCCGTTGGCTACAGCGTTGCCCAGTACTCCGCTGCCATCACCGCCAGCAACAACCTGTCCCTCTTCTCCGCCAGCTACTACCACCG